CAAGCTGAGTTACAAAACTTTATTTTCAATGAACTTATGTGTTTCTTTGAATATCAATAACATGCCTTGTTGTGTGAATAAAGCCCACCTTAAAACGTTCTTCTAGGAGCCAGCAACAACACACACCCTCTAGATTTGAAAAATTAGTATACATGTATTTTATACAAATTTATTAGCACATTTGAATCTCATTAGCATTGTTTCTGCATCACTTATGATAGTAAAACCAACTGAAAGCAGTTGTTTTAGGACCTAGTAATAGGACAGTTTTTTGGGACTGGGATTGATTATTATGGTTATTTTTATTAATAAAATTATTATTACCATAACTTACTCTTTCCCTCCAATATGTAATATTTAAGGTGTTTTTACCAGGTGATAATTGTGTGTGTGCATGTGTGTGTGTGTGCGCGTGTGTGTTTTGCACAATGTCTTGTTTCAGATTCTACAAACATTTTGATGGTGGTTTTAACCACAGAACTATAATAGAACACATACTGTAGAAAATGAAACCAATACATAATTTAGTTTAAAATAAATACAATCTTCTATCTCGGCTACAAAGGCTGTGTCTTGTTACAGATTTTTTTTATAGAACATTTTGCAGTAGTTTTCATTGTCAAAAGAGATGCAGAAGTCTTGACTTTCAAAAATCGATTGCGAAGCCTTCCAAAGAGTCTCCAGTATTACTGCCCCCAGAGGAAGATACTGCAGTTGTTTTGACGGAGTTTGACATTCAAAATATCTTTTTAAAATCTATTAAAAATTTTAAGATTTTTTTTTTCTTTTAAAAATCTATTTTTTTTAGATGGATTGAATACAGCTGTTTCTGGTTTAAATATTTTCTGTACTTGCATGACATTTTAATTATTGAACATGATTTTTACTATTTAAATTCCTTCTGTAATGTGATGCTGTTGTTTTTTTTTTTTAAATAAAGATGTTCATTGAACAGTATAATTTCCTGTTTGAATACATTTCTGTATTGCATGCCACTGAAATAACATTTGGGACTGTCCTCAATATTTTACTCAAAAGTACAGTAGCATTTGTTTAAAAAAAAAAAGCCAGGATAATATACGACCTCTTTTAAGAGTGCAAGACTGTACTTTTTAGGTGGTGGTGGTGGTAATGCATTATGGAATTAGAAATGTCATGCTGATTTATATGTGTGTGTGTCTATGTATGTATGTATGTATGTGTATTTATAGATCTGTAGCTACATTGTAATTTGTATTGTTCCATACTCGTATGCTTCAAAAACTATGTACTAAGTCAATAAACTAATATACTATATATGGGCTGTTTTTTTCTCTTTTGGAGTAGCATTTCATATATGCAGTGGTGGCCAGTGTTGGGGGTAACGCATTACAAGTATCCTCAATATTTTACTCAAAAGTACAGTAGCATTTGTTTAAAAAAAAAAAGCCAGGATAATATACGACCTCTTTTAAGAGTGCAAGACTGTACTTTTTAGGTGGTGGTGGTGGTATGTGGCTGATTTATATGTGTGTGTGTCTATGTATGTATGTATGTATGTGTATTTATAGATCTGTAGCTACATTGTAATTTGTATTGTTCCATACTCGTATGCTTCAAAAACTATGTACTAAGTCAATAAACTAATATACTATATATGGGCTGTTTTTTTCTCTTTTGGAGTAGCATTTCATATATGCAGTGGTGGCCAGTGTTGGGGGTAACGCATTACAAGTAACGTAAGTTACGTAATCAGATTACGTTTTTTCAAGTAACTAGTAAAGTAACGCATTACTTTTTAATTTACAAGAGAATATCTGAGTTCCTTTTTCAAATAAGTAATGCAAGTTATTTTTTTTCCAATTTATTGATTGACAGCTCTCCTGTCCCCATGCTGAGAGAAATCAGATGTTACTGTAGATCTAAAATAAATATGAATATGCATTAATTCATCTCACTCACAAATTTTTTTTTTTTTTTCATTTTTGATTCAGTATTCCTCAAAATGAATAAAAATAATGCAACTCAAAATATGACGCAAACCTGAAATAATTAAATGTTAAACACAAATATCCTTTATGTATTTAATCCCATTCTATTTGCTTCTGATCTTCAATGATCCAGTTCAACCGTACTAATAAACACAAATTACTCTAGACAAACATTTGTGTGTCTTTTTTTTATTGCTGAAGTGTGTTGAAATGTCTTCTTCTGCATTCTACTGTACGGACGTAAATTTACTTTCCCTTCAGCCTGAGGTTTATTCATTTCACTTCTGGTGTGAAAGGCTTTTATATTTGCCAAAAATATAACTTTATTTTAAAAACAAACAAGCAAGCCCTGTCCAGATTTTAAAGTAATGCAAAAGTAACGTAACGCATTACTTTCCATAAAAAGTAACTAAGTAACGCAATTAGTTACTTTTTTTATGGAGTAACGCAATATTGTAATGCATTACTTTTAAAAGTAACTTTCCCCAACACTGGTGGTGGCCAAAATTATTTGAACACTAGTATTTTCACCAGCTAAAAAATGGTTTTAAGTCAGTTATTTCTATCTTTTGCTGTAGTGTGTCAGTAGGAAATATCAGTTTACATTTCCAAACATTCATTTTGTCATTAATTGTAATAATCCAGTGAGATTTTTGTTGGACAACAGCCAGTGCTCCACACAGAGATCTGATCTGATCATCATCCAGTCTGTCTGGAATGACATACAAACCGAGAGAGAATAAATCCAGAAGAACTGTGGCAACGTCTCAAAATGCTTCAAGAAACCTACTATTTAATGCAATAGCATGTGTCCTGAATTACATATAGGAGTAAAACCTGAATTGAAATGTTCATTTAGTAATCCGAAACAAGACACACCGTTTGAAGTTGAAATAGAAGACTTTATTGAATTGAAATGAATTTATAAGTTTGAATGTCAAACTCAGTCAAAACAACTGCAGTATCTTCCTCTGGGGGCAGTAAAACTGGAGACTCTTTGGAAGGCTTCGCAATCGATTTTTGAAAGTCAATAGTGTGACTTCTGCATTTCTTTTGACAATGAAAACAAAAATGTTCTACAAAATGTTCTATAAAAAATCTGTAACAAGACACAGCCTTTGTAGCTGAGATAGAGGATTGTATTTATTTTAAACTAAATTATGTATTGTTTTCATTTTCAATAGTATGTGTTCTATTATAGTTCTGTGGCTAAAACCACCATCAAAATGTTCTTCTAGGAATCAGTAACAAGACACACCCTTTGGATTTAAGAAAGAAAACTGCATGCATTTTAAATGAATTTATTAACAGATTTGAATTTAATTCAATAGCATGTATCCTGAATTACAAATGAGAGTAAAACCTGCATAGAAATGCTCTTTTAGGCCCAGGTATCAAGACACGCCTTTTGAAGTTGAAATAGAAGACTTTATTGATTTGAAATGAATTTATAAGTTTGAATGTCAAACTCAGTCACAGTCACATTTGCATTTGAAAACGATTACAACACAGTAGGTTTCTTGTCATTGTGCTAAATCGTTAAAGAACTATTGAAGATTTCCGAGGCTTAATCTCTGACAAAATGTCAAACGTCGAACCAACTTTATATCGGTGATTAATTCACCTCCCGAGTCCATATAGCAAGAACTGCCGCGTTACGGTGAAAGCCGCACGAACGGCAAGACTAAATTAAGAATAAAGAAAGCTTATATCAAGATATACTTACTTGATTAATTATCTGCAGTACATAAAGTCTCATCTGTAATCATCCAAACGTGGCGCTCCTTTGTTCTTTTGTTTGTTCCCTCACACATCGTGATTACACAAACATGGCGCACATTGCATTTTTCAAACTCTGCTGAAGTAGTGCGCAGTCATGACGTAGTATTTTGGCGCATGCGCTTTCCATTTCTGTTCAAGTTCAAATTGCTCTAAGTTAGTTAGTCCAAAGACTATGGTTAGACTCATTCATGACTCATCCATCTAACTAAAAGTCATTTTTACAGTGCAGTGTAACCTATAATAGAAACAAAATGTAGGCTCTTTGAATGCAAATACATTTTGTTTAGATTTGTTAAAATTTTGCTTGCAATTAATGCACTTAAATGTGTGTTTAAGTGACTTAGAACAACATAATGATAATTGAAAGTATTCTGTACACAGATGTAAATTACAGTACTATCACATACAAATACAGTACTCTCATTAATGACACTGTATGTCAAATATTATGTAGAAAATTAAACTTCATAGAGTTCATAGCGCAGGAGCTGGTGATGAAAATTTCAACAATACATTTTATTGGAGTATACTGTATAAGAAAGCGTATTGAAGTTTAGAAGAAAAATACATCTCAATTGCATTAATGCACATAGTATATTTTATAGACTAAATACATTTAAAATACACGAACAAATGTAATTTTGGAGAACACACTTAAGTTGAAATTAAAATAAATGATTTTACATGTGATTTAGTATAATGATAATTATATCAAAATAGGTGTACTTATTTAAAACACAATACAATTATAATTATGTAAAATGTATGTTTAAGTAATACTTAATTACACATTATTATAAAGTGCATTTTTATAAAGTACACTTAAGCATGTTAAGACCTATTGTCATTAAAGGGTACTCTCTTTAAGTACACTTAAGTGGCCTTTAATTTAAATTATAATAAATAATCTGCAAGTGCACTTTTTAAAAACTACACAAAAAGTACGCTTTTAATACAATTAAGCACTCAACACGTCACTACACTACACGTCTATTTCTGGATCTGACATACAACTGACCCTGAACTCAGTTCCTGTCTCCTTATCATATTGTGTGCGGACATCCGGGAACTGGTCCAGGATCAGAAGTTGCCGCTTCCACAAAAAAGATTCAGAGCCAAAATGAAAGCAATATTTATATTTAAATAAATATTATAAATATTACAAATATTTTATAAATATATAAAATATATATAAATAAAATAAAGCACAATTTGTTGTAAAATATTTGAATAATTCGTCAGCCACAATGCTCTGCCCGCCTATTTCCTGTTTGCGTCACTCACTGACTGCCTTTATCCTTCCTTAAGCGAGCGACAGACGGAGGCGCGAGGTTTGTGAGATAATATTTTTTCCCGATTTATTTTGATATCTGTGGGCTCTATATCTTCTGATTTAATAAAGCTTTTTATTTTATGTGTCGAGAGAGCGACTGAGTGTCTTTGAAATTGTGTTAGTGACATTGAGACTACTGCGGTTGATTACTGATACTGTATTTCTAGCTTTAGCATTACACCGGTAACTTACATGTGTTCTAATCTACCCAGCACGGTGCAACAGAGTAAAACAGACTTTAGCATACCCAGTCACATTGTTTATTAATGTATTAAGTGCATTCTAGAGGTAAATGCCGTATTTTTGTTGTTTAACAAATCCCAGCGACAATATGACCTTGCAGTGTTACTTAACCGGCTCATGCCAAAGTCTGTGTTATTGCCATGATTGTGTCGCGTTATGCGCTGACTATCCTTTTTAAGTTATTTAAATAAATATTATGACGATACCATAGTAAATCGATTGTAATATCTTAGTACTTGTATGATTAGCATATTCGTAGAATGCATATTCATATATAGGTACTTTAATGATATCGAGTAATTAGTAGTAAATGTACTACTGTGACTGACTGGGTGTTTTCATAATAAAATTTGTTCTTTTAAATTATTTGATGTTTACATTTTTGTTCAATTTCAAATTTCTCAAAAGTGGAAAGAAGGAATAGTAGTTTATCATTTACCATTTACTGTTTGTTCTCACACAGGATGTTGGCTACTAGAGTATTTCGCCTTGTTGGTAATCGGGCCTTGTCCACTTCCATCTGCCTGCGTGGTGGACATGGTAAGCTACATGCCAACTTGTGTGTGTGCATAGGCCTATATATATATATATATGTGTGTGTGTGTGTGTGTGTGTGTGTGTTGGGCATCGATTATTTTTTTAAAAACCGTGATTAATCGCATGATTTTCTGTGATTAATCACATTATGCACAAAATTAAATAATGAATTCAAAAGTAGTGTATTGTGTACTTTTTTTCATTTAAAAGTACTGCTATATGAACAAAAGTGCAATAACATTTGGTTTGCAAACACTTTAAGCAAATAAGGTGCTTTTTTTACAGCAGTGTTCCTTTCACAAAGTAGCAGTTAAAATATTTCTTGTAAATCTCAACTTATAGCATTAATGTAATCAAATTAAATATAAAACCAAAGCTATTTGCCACTGCCAGGGCATTAACATTTTTATAGAAAATATTTTATAGTTTGTAACAGAAAAACAAGTTATGCTCAGAGTCCAGAGCCTCTATCATAACATTATAAACACCTTCCAAGTAGAGACCTGCCCTCCCGCGGGACCCAATGCAGCAGAGTGCGGCGCTGGACAACACTTGATGGGCGAGTATGGGTGTGGGCGGATAGAGACTCGTGTGTGCGGGATGCGGGAGAATAAGGGTGTATCACACTAGGCAATCTTAACGGTGCTCGAGCGCGTCTGGCCTCCAAAGCCCGGTTCATTTGACTAGTGTGATCGCTCTGTGCCTCGGTTCGTTTAGCCCACCCTGGCTCAGTTGGAAGAGGTGGGCCAGAGTGCGGTTCAGTTGGGCTCGGGCGCGGTACGCATGTAGTGTGAGTGGAGCGCGGAACTTCTGATACGTGCAGCATGATTGCGTGAACATTTCTGAGTGGCAAAAGTCATAGATCTGTAAAGCAATATATTGTGAGAGGGCCGTGTGTTGCCGCATCCCAAATGACTCAAAATAATAAACCACAAAGTTAACAAAACAATGCACTCCACTGTGCTGAGCGAGAGCGCTTCTGTGCTGCCTTCACATGCTATTCCTATTTCCCATTTATGAAGTCGTGAGCATGTGTATATATGTATACATATATACACAGTGTTTCCCATACATTGATTTATTGCTGGCAGGTCGCCACAATATCAAAACTGACCGACACAAAAAGATTTTTCAAAAGGCTTTGACTTTCAAAATTTGAATTTCAAAATCAAAATGCGTAGCTAGTTTTTTTTATATTAGTGAATATCTGAAGGAAACCGACTGTCTTCAGGAAATTTTTGATTTAATTTCCATTTCATCATGCCTGTGAAGCCTATAAAGCAGCGTTTGTGAGCGCAGTGCTGCTTTGTGTACAGCCGTTACAGGGGAAACAGCTATTTTTACCACTCCAAAAGCGGCACCTATTGGCAAAGAATGAATTTGCGTTTTGGATTTATGCAGCTTTATGGATTTACTCAGAGCTATAAATGTGAATCGGTGTGTATATATATATCTCACGGGGGAAGCCCCGCCACACATAGATGCAAGTCTGTGGGGACACACTGTGTATATAAGAATGCACTGAATGTTCGGCCGAAAATAGTAAAAAAAAAAAAAAAAAAGCTCTTTTGGTGTTCAGGCGAATAAGCAAAAAGACTGAATAAATTGTACCGAACAATGATGCTACATGATCAAATAGAGGCATGCACTAATGCAGCAAACATGTCAGAAGTGTGGAAGCATTGAAAACTGTCAGAGAAAGATGCAGAAATCATTATAAGCACTGACAGCGAGAGACTGTTTAGCACTGCATCGCATGTCTTCGATGAGAAGAGAAATTGCTGGTTACTGTATGATGATTGAAACTGCCAAATGGCCTTAAACAATTAGTAAATAAACTGCAGAATATTATGTTTTCTAATACACGCACAAATTGCATGTCTTCTGACAGTGCTGCACAAGCTTGTGGCGCTATCTGCTTGTTAGCCAGAGTTTAGAGTTTAAAGCGCAAGGAAATTCTGCACTAAACAGTTACTCGTCGGTTGCTCAGTAAAAATTTGTATTTATTTATTTTTTATTTAAACAAGGCATGTGACTGTGTGATACGTGCAACAAACATCTTCCCAAATTCGTAATGAGAATCATTTATAAATTTGCTGTTGTACAAAAAGAAGCACTGAGGTATTCCTGCGGGTTTCTGCCAAAATAGAAGCTGAGAAAAAGCAAGAACTCCATCAACATTCATAAATGTTACTGTTGTTCTGTAAAATAAATACAATAATAATAATTACAACAACTCTAATACATTTATTATAACATTTACACGAAGTGTTCAAATTGGGATCTGTAATTTCTTTAAAAGAAGTCTGTCTCTTGTGCTCAGCAAGGCTGCATTTATTTGTACAGTAAAATACATATACTTGATTTAAGAAGGGGGTCTCAAATAATTGTTTAGTGTTAAGTAAATATTTTTAAAATGCTGTTTTGTAATTGATTTTTTTTCTCTATGACAAGCAAGATAAAACAGTAATTTTTGCTATTTAATTTATGCAGTGGTGAAAAAATGGCAAAATATATGGGGGAAAATACTGAGTGTTTCATTTTGTTCTGCTTCAGCCAAGAATTTTCATTTCGGTGCATCCCATATATATATATATCTTCCAATACACTTGTGTGTGTGTGTGTGCGTGAATTGTGTAACAGTTGTTTTACTTGTCATCTCAGGAGTTGCTAAGGTTGAGGACTACACACTGCCAGCATACTTTGACCGACGAGAGAGCCCTCTTCCTGATATCAAGTTTGTGGAGCAGCTGAGTCCTGAGCAGAAGTCTCTAAAGGAAAAAGAGAAGGGAACCTGGGCTGTGCTGTCCAAAGAGGAGAAGATTGCATGTGTGTGATATGAGTATTTTTGAAGACTTCTGTTGGTTCAGACTTTTGAGTTTTTATTTAATTATGCTAATCGCCTTCTCTTAATGGTTGATTTCAGTATATCGCATCAGCTTCAAGGAGAGCTTTGCTGAAATGAACAAGGGAACCGGAGAGTGGAAATCTGTAGTTGCAGGAATTTTCTTTTTCATTGGCTTTACTGGCCTAGTTGTCTTGTGGCAGAGGAAGTATGGTAAGTTTAGCTTGAATTCAACTATATACAAGTATTGCTGATTATCTCATCCAGGATCATACTTGCATACAGTTATTGAATGTGTATGTCTTATGTCTGTGTTTAGTTTATGGAGATGTTCCCCATACCTTTGACCCCGAATACAAGCAGAAGGAGGTTCAGAGAATGCTGGATATGAGGATCAACCCCGTTGAGGGCTTTTCAGCCAAATGGGACTATGAAAACAATGCTTGGAAGAAATAAATTGTAGACCAGGCCCACCCCTTCTAACTAATAATCCAACAAAACAGACAAGTATTTTTTTTTCTCTCCACTGTTACTTCTGAATGATTTTGGAAGTTTGCTTCCTCTTAAGGCTATGTATCATAAATAAAAATCAATATGTATCAATGTGATTGTCTTATTTTGTCTGTACATGTACAGTATTTTATTTTCAGATCCTATTTCAACAATCAAATCAGCAATTATTAGAAAATTATTTGTAAAATGGAATGAGAAGTTAGTAAGTCTCTTTTTAAACTGTCCTCAATGCTATTTTTATTTAGGAGTAATGAAATTGATAAACACTTTTGGATGAAAATGCAGTTGTGTTTACTGATTTGTTAGGCTTCTGCCTAACATTGCCCTGAGGACCCACAGCACTGCACATTCTGTATGTCTCTTTTACTTCGGTTCAATACATTCTGCGGCGTTGTGGATCACTACGCTCAGACACTGCTCTGTCACAGTAACTTTTCGTTTGAATTCTTACTGATTATTATATATCCGTGTTATATTATAATTTGGTTAAATGTGACTGAAATCAGTGTAATACTAGTTTTAGTGATGTGTAGTCTCACTATAATGCATAAATGCAATTGGCTTAGGTCTATAATGCACGTCTGAGGTCTGCATATAAACTATATCAGTCATACATGACAAACGAATCATGGGAAACGGCATGAATAAAGTAATCAACATTAACATGTTTATAAAGCATTTTTTTGCGTGTTACTCTTTACAGTCCTGTTTGTCGGTGTGGAATGTTTTTAAATGTGACATTTAAAGAGACGCGTGACACGAAAAACTAAACGGAGACTGATACACACACTTTGTACACTAGTCAAGTATTACTGTGTCATCGCAGTTATCCTTCTTCAGCTTATCCTTTATCATTTCTACTGAGCCCTTTTATGTCCTTTATAAAAAAAACACTTGTACCATGGGTGGTATCAAATTAATACCAATGTACGTTTTGACCACACGCCAAGCAATCATTTATGAGGTAAATAGTTTGATTTGGCTAATGCAGCATTTATGAGCTTCTGCAATTGAGGGGTGGAACTATGATGTCACTTTGTAGGCAAAAACCCGGAAGCGAGTTAGCATTTTAGCACTTCCGGTTCCATCAAGGTTCTGGCTGCAGACGTAGGGGCGAGTGGAGCTCCACTCGAGAGCGGAAATGCGTCACCTCCACTAGCGAAACGGCCGCCATGTTGGTCCGGGCAAAGCCTGGAAACTGGTTTACAACCACAACTTTTCCCCCCACAAAACCATCTTATGGAATAATTTGACTAAACGGAGACTGATACACACACTTTGTACACTAGTCAAGTATTACTGTGTCATCGCAGTTATCCTTCTTCAGCTTATCCTTTATCATTTCTACTGAGCCCTTTTATGTCCTTTATAAAAAAAACACTTGTACCATGGGTGGTATCAAATTAATACCAATGTACGTTTTGACCACACGCCAAGCAATCATTTATGAGGTAAATAGTTTGATTTGGCTAATGCAGCATTTATGAGCTTCTGCAATTGAGGGGTGGAACTATGATGTCACTTTGTAGGCAAAAACCCGGAAGCGAGTTAGCATTTTAGCACTTCCGGTTCCATCAAGGTTCTGGCTGCAGACGTAGGGGCGAGTGGAGCTCCACTCGAGAGCGGAAATGCGTCACCTCCACTAGCGAAACGGCCGCCATGTTGGTCCGGGCAAAGCCTGGAAACTGGTTTACAACCACAACTTTTCCCCCCACAAAACCATCTTATGGAATAATTTGGATATTAAAATTAGAAATAGATCAGTCTTTTTTGATAAATGGTTTCATAAAAACATAATTTTTGTTGCTGATCTATTAAACTTTAATGACGATTTGTTATCTTATGAATGTTTTATGAATATCCATCAATTTCCCGTTCCGTTTAAAGAATTTAACTCAGTTATAAAGGTCTGATGAAAGCTTCCCATCCTTATCGTGGCTTTAGTCATGAATAAGCTTTGTGTTGCAATAGTGAGTCATAAAAGCACCAAAAAGTAAGATGAGTACACAACGCCATTAGCTGTTTCATTGTTATCTTTCCCCACATCATTCACTATATAAATGTGACATATTAACACATTCATCCTTTTACGTTGCTTTGACGTCACCATGGGAACAGCGACCATCTGACCATATGACTGAGGACAATGGAGGAAAACATGGTTATTACCATATAAATACTGTATACCCAATAAAGTGAAAGAAGTGCATTTCAAAATTTTGCATAATATATACCCTTGTAACGCTGTTGTGTCAAAATTTTGTGCTGTAGCTGATATATGCACCTTCTGTAAAAAAGAAAGTGAAGATATTTGTCATTTATTTTTCTCTTGTAATGTTTCATCACTTTTTTGGAAAGATTTGAGTTCCTATTGGTTTTCTAAAGTTAATATGAACTGTAATTTACACATTAAGGATGTTGTTTGCGTTTTTGAAAACCAAAACAAATCTTTAGAATCTGCTGTTAACTTTCTTATCCTTGTGGCAAAATTCTATTTTAACAAACAAAGGTTTCTTAAGAAAATACCTACTTTTATAGATTTCTTATGTGAAGTAGAACATTTAATTAAATGACTAAGAGTAATTAATAACAAAAAATGTATTTCTTTTTTGAATAGATATAATGAGATCTTTCATGTACTGTGATTAATACCTGTTTTGGTGGGTTTTTTTTTAAATCCTCTTTTCTTTATTTGTTCTGTTCCTGCCTTTATGTTCATTAAAAATCTGTTTAAATGCAAAAAAAAATAATAATAAAATAAAAATGCTGGTCCGGGCAACACTTCCTGAACAAAAGAGAAGCATTTATCCTAATAGAGAATGAGAAGTAACCATGGGAACGGATAGCGTATCCTGCTAATATGGCGGCGCCTTCCCGAAATGCAATGCGGAGTGAAAAGATCGTGACGTAACTCCTCATTCTCTATTGGTGGTTTGCAATCACGTGATTCTGATGATGCACGAAATGCAGCTGGAGGGCAGGAGGTGATTTCTCTCCATAGAAATCACCAACAAAACTCAAAATGCCTGTGTTGGGACCCTCCCGGTCGGGAGGAGCGGAGCCGGATAATGCTTGTGTGTGCAAATGATTAATATAATATATAATAATATATTAAGATATTAATGAAGAAATATATAAATAGATACAGGGTGACACAGTCAGAATTCACTGAATACTAAACGCCACACATAGACACGATGTAAATAAGATATTGTTTGCAGTTCACGGAATCGTGAG